GTTAAGTACCAAAGTCATGCAGCCCCTGGCCCATCCCTAAGTCCCCATGGGACAGTCCCCACCCTTCCTTCCTTCCCTCAGTTCAAGGCTGACACTCTTCTAGTCTCTGCTCATCCCTACCACCAACACTCACTTTTTACAATGCAATGACAGAACAGCCAACAGTGGTCTCCAGTGTGATCTCCCTCAAGTGGCTTCTGAGTTTCAACCAGAAGCTTTTGACTTGCAAAAAGGAACCAGGACAAGCAAGCCTTAGATTCTCACAGAAGACACACTCTTTAATCCAGCACACACCCCAGGCTCAGTGAGAAGTTTGAAGGAAAGGAGCCTACCATGGCAATGGCAGAATGACAGAGCCTCCTCCTGGTCTCCAGAGGGGACTTTTGAAAGATAGGGTTTTACTTAGCCAAGGCTGTTCTGAAAATACACTCAACTGACTGAAATTTGAGTGTAGAGCAGCGGAGGGTGACCTCGAACTCTCGGTCTTCCTGCCACCACCTGTCAAGTGCTGAGATCACAGGTACGAGCCACCACACCTCAGGGGTCAGGAATTTATGGCGATGCAATGGAATCCACTCCTTTGGTTTCCCTTAGTCAGCCTGCACGTGGGTGCTGCAGTTGGCAGCTTGGCCCGCCCCCTTCCTTCCCGCCTCTGCTTTATCTCTCACCATTTCGCTCTTGAGTCGCCTAGTGCAGACTTATACCTCTTCTCTTGGGGATTGATAACATAATGGCATGTTTATTTTTCTGATCACATCTTGTGCGGAAAGGGCCACTTAAGACTACTAATGAAAACAACTTCTCACTTGAGGGCCCAGCCGAAGCAGTGCTGTCTTAACCTCCTCCATCAGCAGTGGCACTTCTAGAGGCTCCTCCAGTGACTTCTAGATGCACACTACTGCTCTATTCCTCAACACACGGTACTAATACTGCTTGAGCATCAGGCTTTCGGGCCCACGTTAATTACTCGCTGTGTCTCTTTAGCTTTGCCAGGCCCTGGGAAGCAAGGCTGTATTGTATGCATCTTTCCATTTTTTTTTTTTTTTCTGCTTTGGTATCTAGGACTTATCACCTGTTCATACCTCCTGGGAGAAATACCTTCCTATTCCTTTTGTTGTTAAGAGGAAATGGCCAGTCACGCACGCATTAGTGAGTTTAGGGATCTCCTGCCCCGCTGTACTTCTGACACACTGTTAACGGCAAGTTTTCAGTTCCACTCTTGACTCTGTCTGTCTGTTTATAATATCACCAGTCCCTCTGTAATAATATCTTTACTCCAGCATTATCAACTCCTTGAGAGTCCCAGGCATCTACCTGTCCTCCAGGATACCAGGGCCTGGGTAATCACACCCCATCTCCTTGAGGGCCCCAGACACCAACACAACCATGAGGTCCCAGTTAGTCATCATTTCTGACTTTTCGCACCATCTGCTCTGCATGGGTTCCGATCTGACCCCGTTCCTGTCCATCCTCCCAGATGTGCCCTCTTTACCCTGCTCTCTACAACTCCTATCCATCCTCAACCATACCCCAGTGGCCCTTAGCCACCTAGTTTTGAAAGGGTACTATGTAACCTTCTTCCCCACTCCATTTCATATTCATGACCATAAATTCCAAATAGAGCCTTGGGACTTTGCAGTGTCTTGGCTAAATTTTCATAGTATACAGACTCCCATTCCTAAGATAGTTAATGTCTTTTCTTTCCCCCTCAATGGACACTTTTTTTTTTTTTTGCTGTTGTTTTTCCTTCTCTTTGCTTCTTAGCTCACTGGGGACGTTGGGGTATTCTGAAGAGATCTTTAGTGCTCTCCTTCTTGCTGTGCTGCTCACATCCCTTGACTTTTTTTTTTTTTTTTTTGGTCATTTCCTTCTCTTGGACACTTCTCTTTGCTCTTGCCTATGCCATAAGATTCCATTTCATCACCAAAGGCTCCAGATCACTAAGGTGGTGATGGCTTATACTTGTATTCTCAGCACTTGACCGGTGGTGGCAGAAAGAGAGTTCAAGGTCACCCTCCAAGCTACAGTGAGTTGGAGAACAGCCTGGGCTGTGAGAGACGCTGTCCGGACACTAAGAGGAAGCTCTGTCACTCTGCCAATGCTATGACATGCCCCTTTCCTGCTCTATTTGAGCTTTTGCATCAGAATGTAAACATTATGGGCAATCTTCCGCGTTAGAGAATTGCCTCTGGATCCTTTCAAGCAACATCCTTTCTCGGCTCCTCTCTAGCAAAACTCTTCCTGAGAGTTGTCTGTCTTCACTCACCCCACTTCCTCTTCCATTCTTCCTCGAAGATGCACAGTTGGGCTTTTGTTCCCAGCACTCCACAGAAGCTATGAGCCTCTCCTGACCACCGTCCATCACTTATGACCACCTCATCACCAAGGCCATTGCTAGTGCCCACCCCCTCCACTTGCTCTACGTGGGAACTGTGTGTGACACAACTGACTATTCTTGTTTTTCTTTTTTTTAACATTTTTTTTCTGCCCCAGGGATACTACATTCTCCTAATTTTACTCCTACCTCCTGAGTCACTTTCCTCCTCTCTTTGGTTGGCTTTCCTCCCTGCTTGACACCTCTGAGACTTAATTCTCCTCTGGTTTTTGCCCCTGGATGCCTCCTCTTAGGCAGACCTCCCTGGCCTCTCACTGTACACATTGGTGCATTCACATTTTCACTCTTAGCCCATGACCCCTCAAATCTCCAAGTTCACATAGCGTCTGCCCACATGTCAGTCCCGCAGATGTCAATAGACATTCCCAGCACAGTGAAAAAACGATGCTCCCATGTCCCCCTTTCGCCAGCCCCTCTCAGACTTCTCCTTCTCCATTTTATTCTTCAATCTCTGCCAAACATGTCACCATTTACCCAGGTATTCGGGTTCTGAACCTAGAAAATACACTTGGCCTCTCTTCTTTATGTACAAGGTTGTCAGCACTGCCTTTGAAGGGCGTGTTGAGTGTGGTCACTCCTTACTGCCTCCACCTGCACAGAACTCCAGAGTCCAAGGCCTTATTAAGTCCTCTCTCCTGAACCTTTCTAAAGCCTCCTACCTCGTCTCCCTGTTTCCACTCTTGCTTGCAATAGGCCGTTCCCAGCTGAGCTACCACAATAATCATTACGAAATATAACATGAGCCACTCGGTGGCTAAACCCCCTCCAATGGCTTTCAATCACAAGGATGCAAGTTTTACCTTGACCAAAAAGGCCTCAGGTGACATGCCCTTCAGCCTCTTTTTGCCCTTGCCTCTTGCCCTTGCTTGAGCAGGTGAGGCTTTCTCATCTCTGCAGCCACTGTTCCCTCTGCCAGGATTTTACAAGCTTTGTTCAGTCAGGGCTCTGCTCAAATCCACTGAATAGAACTCCCCAGACCGCCAGTTTCATCGTCTTTATGCCATCTGGCCTCTCACTCTGCTGATATTATTAATCCTGAACTTTCTAAGGACATATTTGCACACATCCATTTCATGGGCAAGGACTTTCTGCCTTGTTCACTCTTAGTGACAAGCAAGCATTTGTGGAGTGAGTGGCTACAGCTGTAATAGTGTGTCCTCAGGAGGCAGAAGAGGAGGAGTGTGGGGAAGGGAGGTAAGCAGAGAGGGTAAAGATGTTGCCTCAATAAACTCAAAGCTCCAACATCCTTCCAGGAGAAGAGTTAGGAGAAGGGACAGGTGGGCACAGAGAAGGCCACGTGGTTGGTGGGCCAGCTCCCCACGAGCCCTGTTCCATAGAAATCTTGTACTAGTAGAAATCATCTGTGCCTCTACTGTCTGCAAATGTAGCTACTGGTCTCAGCTTGTCACTGAGCACTTGAAAAGTGGCTAGTGAGATTGAGAGATGGTTATAATTTTCATTTTAATTCACATTCAGATATCACCACGTGGCGGGTGGCTCTATCGTTAGAACTTGGAAAGTGTCTTTCTCCCACCTGCAGTGGCAAGATGACAGCTCTTGAAAAGTCTGGCCAGCATCTGGGGCACAGTTGGCACTGGAATAACTAGCCCTTTTATTCTGACACAGGGTTGCAAAGTGGGATGCCGCAGTTGATACTGGGCTCAGAGGAACGTTAGAGGGATTGTGTTACTGTCATTTGCTGCGATTTTGTTTTTCGTTAGAGTTAGTGGTAACCTCCACTAACTCAGCAGCGTGTGAGTCTGCATTTTAGCTTACAAACTAAAAATAGTAAAGAAGTGCTTCGGGATTGCATTTGAAGGCCTTGCAGAGACAGGAGACTGTTCCCAGTGGGTAGGCTTGTTGATACGTCCAACAGGCTAATTGATTTCGACAACAGCTAATTTTGCATCTGCAAAAATTGAATTTGCTACATTGTTGTACTGTGTTCAAACTGTCATCTGCAACTTCCGGCATGATTTTGGATATGAGTGGTGTCTGTTTTCAAACTCACTGCTCCAATGAAAGAGTATCTGCTTACCAGAATTGTCCGTGGTGGATTCTTCAAGGTTGTTAGTTGGCTTGGACTTCAAAATTATACATTTCTGTTGTGAGTGGCTTACCATAGTCTCCTTCATACTAAGTTCAGAAAACAAAACTAGTGCAGACACTATAGCTAACACAATGGAGTGGACCATCTAATCCAATCTTGCTATCACACATTTGCCCAGAAGCATGGTGGGTAATTTCAAGCCAAGAGGACTCTCTTCCCCACCCATAGCAGAACACAAGCAGCATTCAGCTTTGGGAACTCTAAAGAGACTGAGTGGATTTAAGTTAAACAGGCTTAAGAGCATTAAGAAAAGTTGACCTTAAAGAGACGGATGAACCTGTAAGCAGCCTGGGGCCCTCTTTACTGTGGCCAGTAAGGACGTGCTCTAGGACCCAAGGCAGAGGAGATTGGAATAGAAAGAGGAGGAACTAGTTCCCACCAGGGAGGCCTTCCTGTGCGCTTTGAACTGCAGATCCCTCTTCCACCCAGGAAGGTGGGTCTCCGTAGAGACTCCCCTTTCCATAAATGTTAAGCTGTGGCGCTGAGATCACTCACCAATGGGCATCACTAGGAAGAAGGGCAGCCAGCAGAGGACAAAGCAACCCACCACGATGCCCAGCGTCTTGGCTGCTTTTTTCTCCCGGGAAAACTTGAGCAGCCGCACGGAGAAGTGAGTCTTATTCTTGGCACTGCTCAGCCCGCCGCCGCCTTCTGCGGGGACATTTTTCCGGTGGATACGGAGCGTCACTTGCTCTGAGTCCGACTTGTCGGTCTTGAGGCCGGACTTGAGGCCCCGGCTTTCCCTCTTGGCTACCACGTAGACCCGACAGTACATAACCAGGATGATGGCCAGTGGCACGTAGAAAGAGCCCAGCGCGGAGAACAGCACGTAGCCAGGCTCCTCATTGATCTGGCAGATTGTCTCGTCCTCAGGAGCCGGCTGCCTCCAGCCGAACAACGGTCCGATGGAGATGACCAGGGAAAGCGCCCAGACGCAGAGCAGAGCCCTGACGCCCCTCCTCTGGGTGACAATGGCAGGGTAGCGCAGCGGGTAGCTCACGCCAATGTATCTGTCGATGGAGATGATGCAGAGGCCCATGATGGACGCCGTGCAGCACAGGACGTCCACCGCCGCCCAGATGTTGCAGAAGACCCTGCCAAAGGCCCAGTAGCCCAGGATCTCGAAGATGGCAGAGAAGGGCAACACGGTGGAGGTGAGGAGGAGGTCGGCTACGGCCAGGTTGACTATGTAGTAGTGAGTTACTGAGTGCAGATGCCGATGACAGGCGACCGAAAGGATCACTAAGATGTTCCCCAGCACCCCGAAGATGATGAGGCCCCCCAAGATTACCCCAAGCAGAATGGCCTTAGAAATGTTCACCGGTGCTGGCTGGTGGGTGCAGTTGGAGCCTTCGGAAGCATTTTCAGAGAGAAGCACCATGGTCCCAGGGAGAGGGGGGCAAGGTTCAGCTTTCGACGGCCACCCTCCACAGGGTAAGGGGTGGGGGTTGGGGTGGGGGGTGGGGCGGAAGCAGGAGCGAGGGAGCCAAGTCAAAAAATCTCAGCTTGGGGGACTCCAGCGAGCTGGGTGGGGCTGGGGGAGGGAGAGGACACACCTGTTGGAAACCAGCCTAGGCGGCCCTGGGGACCCTCAGAGGGCCACGCTAAGGCACAGAGCATTAAAGGTGACATGGCCAGGGGAGCTCTGGGCTTCTGAGGGCACCTTCCCTACCCGAACCTTGCAGCGAGGTGCAAAGGAGCACGCTGCGAAGGCAAACAAAAATCCGCTTTCCTGTGCAATCTGACGCATCCTGTCCATCCACACGTAAATCAGAAATTCTCAAGTCTGTGGCCAGTCTTCAGGTTGAAACGGTAGTTAAGTGTGGCTCAGCCGTCTAAGCTCACGTCAGGGGCGTCTGGGCGCTGCAGCCGGCTGGCTGGCGGTTGCTCTCAGCTTGGTCTCCCAACTCTGGGCTACTGCTAGCTCCAGCTGCTAGGTGTTCTGGCGAGCTGACATGGGTCGGAAATATTCGCTGAAACCGACGTGGCCCCGGAGCTTCGTTTATCTGAATCCAGCTGAAAATTAAAAAAAAAAAAAGCGCAAAAAAAAAAAAAGGCGGACCGTGAGCCAGGCTCCCTGGACAGCCAGGCCCTGCTGAGCTCGCCCAGCCCAACAACCAGACCCCAGCTGGGGGCCCACCGCTCTGCAGTCCAAGAGTGGGTTTGTGCCTCCTGCCCTGGCTCAGGCGACAAGGGACAAGGGAGGGGACCTCCTGCTCTGTCCCCCAGTCCTTCCTCAGTCCTCCCCAGTCCTCTGGGAAGGTGCCTCCTTCTGCTTCCCCTTGCCTTGACTGACCAAGTTCAATATCCAAAACAAAACCAAGCAAAAAAATAAAAATAAAAATAAAAAAAATTACCGAAACGGCCTCCCCACCTCAAATAACGACACCCACACCCCAAGCTGCAGTGGCTGGACGCTGCATTTCCAAGAGAGACAGGACGGAGAAAACAAAACCCCGAAACGCCCCCTTCCTGCACCACCACTCTGGCCCCGCAGGCTCCACTGCGGCTGCAGTGTCGCCCTGAGGCAAGCCTGTGCAATCTTGGACGATCCTCCCCGGCCGCCTTCGGAACAGGTTGCACCGCGGTCACCTGGAGAGGGCGGCCTGGGAGAGCGAAGCTCGGAGAGCGCGGAACCGCAGGGCCCCGCGCACGCTCACTCCCGCGGACCTGGCGCTCGTGGGAGCAGAGCGCGCGGGTCTGCCCACCAGCCAAACCACCCACGAGAAAGGGCCAGGGTCCCAGCACAGCCTATCCTCAGGCCCTGACGCAGACAGGCAGGATCTCCAAGGGGCGCCCGCCCTAGGGATTCCAGCCTCGAGCCACACCCGGGCTTCTGGGGACCCTGGTGGAAGCGCAGCCCTCGGACCAGGCTTTGCGAGTAGCAGTCACTGCGGATCCCCCAAGGGACTTTAATTAAAAAAAAAAAAAAAATCAAGCCCGCGTGCCAGCAGTCGGGATGTCTGGGATTTGCTGGGCTAGGGGTCATGGTCTACCTAAATAACCCGAAACCCGATTTCTACAACTGCAAAAAAAAAAAAAAAAAAAAAAAAAAGACCAGATGTGGGACAGCGGTGCGAGATCTGAGGGCACGCATACTTGATCTTTTGGGGAGGTTGAGCCCCAGGGCGGGATTTCAGGAGAAGAAAAAAAAAATCACAAGTCCAAGCCCCCCTCCCCCCTTACAGGTGATCCCCAAACCACGCCACCGCTGCGCAAACCCACTTGTTAACTAGAAGGTAACTTGTTAACCAGAAGGCGGTCCCCACCGCGCCTCAGGGGAAACGCGGTGGTTCGCGATGCGGGTGTCAAAGTCGGTCCCAAAGCCGGAGACGCGGGGCTAGGCGGGGGTCCACGGCACCCCAGCCCACTCCCCAGCCGGCCCTGGGCGGTGCTGGCTCTGGCCTCCGCTGCGCTACTCACCTGCTGCGCGGCTGCGGAGGCCCGGGCGCCGGTAGACCTCCAGTCCTCGCCGCCCAGGCTGCTTCTCTGCAGGGAGGAGAGGGGACGGTCTCCAAAGATCAAGTCCCGGTCCTTAGCACCCGCTGACTCACCCCACCGCTGCCGAGCGCCTCAAACTCCGAGCTCGCTTCTGCTCCTCCGGGATCTTTTAAAATAAAGGCTGAAAACAGAGGAAGGAAGGGTCGAGAATACGGCGAGCCGGTAACTCCACGATCAACCGGTTTGATGTTCAGTTCCTGGACACCAGAAAAGAGCGGCTAGGAACTTTGCGGCTCGGGTTGACGTAGTACAGGCGGTAGCCCAGTACCGTAATCTCCAGCTGTTACCGTATTCCTCTGCAGCAACCCGCACAACCTCGTAAACTCAGGGGTGTTGTCCTTCTCCTCCCTACCTAGACTCCCTCTCCATCTCTCTGTCCCCCTTCTGTCTCTCCTCTTCCCCTTTCCTCCTTCCCCCTTTCTCCCCCATTCCTCCACTCTAGATCCCTTTCCCTCTTTCCATCCTTTCTCTAGGTCTCCACCTATCAATTGCCTGATATGTACATGTTGTTTTTTTTTTTAAACAAGCAAACAAACAAGCAAGCAAACACCACCACCAACAAAACCTAGACTCCTTTCTAAGTTTTTACTGGATAGATAATTTGTTTCCCAAAGGTTGCTTTGAAAGATTTAGTTCAACTCCTGGCCGGGGTTTGTTTAAGTCAGGAAGCGTGTGGCTGCTGCTGGCAAATGTGCAGGTGCATTATTTGCAGATGTTTAAAAAGTACACAAACCCAGACAAGATTCCTTGGATTTGATTGCAATAGTCCCAGGAAAATAAAGTACTATCCACCTTTCATTTCGTTACACAGAGTTTTTTTTTTTTTTTTTTAAATTATATGGTCTCAAGGCAGTTTCTCCCACAGTGTAGTGTCTATAAGTACATTTGTTTCCAATTCTCAGAAGAAAGTGTATCCCTGGAGGAGAGTTTCAGCTCTTCCATCTTTTAATAGTTTGAGTAGAGGGCGCCACACAGCCAGTTGTATTTATTTATCTCTTCCTGACAAATACCGTGCCCTGCTTAACTTAAGACCAAGTGAAGCCAAAAGTATTTCAGAAGGTTAAGAACAAACAGGCATCTTCCCAGCGTGGTTCCCCTCCCCTGGTCTTTCATGGTTACTGACTCGGACAAAGCATGATTTTTTTTTTTTTTTTTTGGAAGTGCTTTCTAGAATCCCTTAAGTATGGTGACACAAAGGCGGCCTTGGGAGCATGGAGCTGCAGCTGCATGTTGCAAGTACGGTCTTTGCTTGCACAGATGCGTGAAACCCCCACGTTGGATCACTAGAGCCCTTCATTTCTGTTCTCTCTCCTGAGCAAAAATGTGTTAATATTATTTATTTTTTAAAAAAAGATGTTTAGGGATTTTTTTTTTTTAGTAGCAGTATGCCACAGAATGCAGAGACATATGTGAAATCGGAGGTCCTATAACACCGAAGACCTGGTAATTGGCTTTCTTTCGCCTTTATACATAAAATGCCCCACTCCCATGCCTAGAGACATAATATCCACACTTACTGCCTTTGATTTGTTTTTGGCTTTAGTGGCATCTAAAAGTATATGTTTCTCCACAAGCTGAATCTTGGGGTCTAGAAGGAGCCTATTGGATGCACAGACAAGAAAGAAATTCAGCTCTTTTAACCCTAGCCCCCTAGAGACCAAGTCACATACTCTCTGAGATCCTTCCCCATTTGGAGGAGGCTGATCTACAACCCCTAGGACTTTCTTTTATTAATACTATAATTTATTACAATTTATTCAACCTGTATCTCAGCTATAGCCCCCTCCCTTGTCTCCTCCCAACCCCACCCTCCTATGCTCCTCCCCTAGTCCATTGATAGGGTTGGTCCTCTTCCCCTTCCATCTGACTCTAGTGTATCAGGTCTCTCTCATCAGGACTGGCTGCATTGTCTTCTTCTGTGGCCTGGCAAGGCTGTGCCCCCCCCTCCCCCCACGGCATGGTGATCAGAAAGCCTGCTCTTGTTCCTTATCCCTTCCACCCCTAGGACTTTGACTCCTTATCAAATAAATGCGGAAGAGTTCTTCTTTGGGAATCTCGCCCCCTAGAGGGAGAGCCATTATTCAGTTTTGTATTCTCTTAGCCTACCTCATGAACATTCATTCTCTTTAATATCTGCTCCATGGTAGATAAGAGAAGCAGTTTTGTCTGCAAGAAAACAAGCTCTGGAGAAAAAAAAATGAACAAAGATCTGTGAAATTCCTAAATCTCTAAGCCCAAAATGGGAACACATCCATCCCAACCACTAACTAGCTAGTGCCCAAACCCCAACAGTAGCTGCTCACTGCAACCAAGTAGGTTTATCAAATCTCCTCAGCATAAATTCTCTTTTCACATCTTCTTGTAATTAATTAAGTGTGATTAATTAATTAATTGTAATTAATTAATTACAATTTATTTACACTGTAGCCCTCCTCATCTCCTCCTAGTCCCATCCACCCATCCTCCTTCTCCCCATATGCACTTTCCCTAGTCCGCTGATAGGGGAGGACCTCCTTGCCTTCTATCTGACCCTAGCTTATAAGGTCTCATCAGGGTTGGCTGTATCATCTTCCTCTGTGGTCTAGCAAGGCTGCACCCCCCCCCCCCAGAGGGAGGTGATCAAAGAGCCGGCCACTGAGTTCATGTCAGAGACAGTCCCTGTACCCTGTACTAGGGGACTCACTTGGAAACTAAGCAGCCAATGGGCTTCCTCTGAGCAGGGGCTCTAGATCCTCTTCATGCACGGACCTTGGTTTGGAGCATCAGTCTCTGCAGCCTTCAGCAGAAGCCTTCCAGTTGCTAACCACCAATCCACAAATCAGAAGCTAACCATGTGCTACTTTTAATTTTTCATCAGCTTGTATTTAGTATACAAAATGA